TATATAAACATGATTGATTTTGAGATTGACATCAAAAAAATTTGCAACATTAAAAATCATTAAACTTTATACATTTATTTAAATTGACCACTACTTGTATGATTGATTCAATAAAGGAACAAAATTAATTATTTCACAATAAAAGCTATTTGTTTGTTTGTTTATTGTTGTTTTTGATTTTGGTATTTAATGCATGGTTTCTATTCATAATGCAGTCAGAACTCGTTAAACCAAAGTCAATATTTTCAAAAAAAAACTTCGATCTAAAAACCTTAATAACATTGGCTTATTGAGGTAATTTGATAGGTAGATAATAAAACAACATCATTTTATTGTGTATATTTGGTTTATCAAAGCACCGTCTTAACGAGTTTTAACTGTACGTTTATTCGTTTTATTTGTTTTTTATTCATTTTATTCATTTTATTCGTTTTATTCATTTTATTCGTTTTTTATTTGTTTTATTCGTTTTTATTTGTTTTATTCGGTTTATTCATTTTTATTCATTTCTATTTGTTTTATTCGTTTTTATTCGTTTTATTAATTAATTATTTGTTTTATTTGTTTTATTTGTTTTATTTGTTTTATTTGTTTTATTTGTTTTATTTGCTTTATTTGCTTTTATTCGAATTATTATTACTCGAATTATTTGTTTTATTCAAATAAACCTTATTTGAATAGAAACCTAACTGCAGCTCAAGATTATGATATTATTTTAGCACAAAAAGCTTTAGAAATAATTTAATTACAATATAAAAGAGTTATCATCGGTTTATTAAATTAACTAAAAAATAGGGTTAATTATAAAAGAATATCTGATAAATATTGACACTTTCAACATTTACTAATAGGCTTTTAGACAATATGATAAAAATATTAAGAATATTATTAACTTATCAGTATGTATAAGCAAAGAAAGATGGGAGCACAAAAGAATTTTAAATCATGCACAAACATGATAGCTTGATGGCTTGATTGACATAGTGGTGCAGTCTTGCAATTTTTTTATTGTATATTTTAAATATAATTAATCATACATCTTTAACAAAACAAACATGACTTAGCTATTTAATCATTTCCTTGTATGTGAATGCCTCCATCCATCAAATATTCATGATGGTCATGATTATTATGCAATACATTTGATATCATCATTGACATAACAAACAATTGCATCACCCGGGTAGTAATGATACCAAGGCCATGCATAAATGAAACTTTTAGTAATGCATGTCTACCCAGATCTCTGGGATTCACAATAATAAATTATTCTTCATGATTATCAATTATGGTTCCTTGTGAATAATAAATCTGATGTTGATCACAGGTGTCAGATTTAATTAAAATTTTCCTGTCACAAACAAGCAAGCGTTGTGCTTTCACACGCTTCATAACTGTGGAAATTTTTTCCACAGGTGAAACAATTGAACATGTTGGAAGGCTTTGGACAAAACATTCCCTTATCTTCCCCTCAGACCAGGCTTGGCTGTCACCATATGGAGCATTGATTGCTGATAGCTGGTGCTTGTGTGATGATTGCTTTGTGTTATTGCCATGCTAGCATAAAGTTGGCACCTGCAACTGGTTGAAAATTCTGCAACTCAGAAGGTTACTGTTTTGGTTTTTCCCTGAATTCAGAGTTTTGAGTCCTGGGTTGCTGTAATTTTTATGAAATGAAAAGTATTAATATTTAACAATTAATTATTTAAATGTTTATTTTGTTGAAAAAAACATACATTGATAGTGTACATTTTCTGTGCTTAACATCCATGTGACCCTAAGTCTGGACAAAAGATCCCTTTCTATGAGTTTGGCTGGTATATCCCAAAGGCATCCCCTGTCTTGTCAGTGGCATGCCTACTCACCAACAACCCTACCCCCATTTACAAATTCAGTAGTGATGTTAGCCGACTAATAATCTGCATACACAATTTCTAAATTTGGTAATAGATTTCTGCGTTACCTTCTGGTTATAGAAATAAAATTACCAATTTAGGTAATAAATGGCTTAGCGGCTAAGGATTTTTAAATGGCCAACATCATTAAAATTCAGTTGGTCAGATAAAAATTAAAGAGAAGCAGAAAATTTGGGAAAATGATTAATTTATAACAAAACATACCAAACAAAATCCAAACCATTTTTATGGCTTTTTTCTTGTTGGACATATTGCTGACAAAGATGTATATAATCATGCGATAATTTTAACCTATAGGACAGAGGACTGATTGGGCAAAACCCAATCCAGTCCCCTATCCAAAATCATTAAATTGGTTAAACAGAGAATTTACGAAAATGATTATACAAAACAAACACTATTTTACAACTTTCCTCTTAACATCAGAGTTCCAAATGCAATTTCAGGGCCACCAACCCTGCTCTGAATTGCGACCTCCTGTGCTTGAGCAAGTTGCAGGTTCTCGTTGCTTTGATGGATCTGGATATTTACATGGCATTACAATTCATCAGCAGAGTTGCAACTTGATCACAGTGCCATCCTTGCCCTAGAGGTGAGATCGTTGGAGTTGACTTTTTGGCCAGTGTGCCAGCAGCCTTCTCTGGTCTGGATGCTGTGAGGGAAGATTAGTGAAAGCATCATTGACAATTGATGCAGTCTTGGTAAACTCCAGGGCCACGTATTACCCCTGGAATGTGGTAGCATCATTGTATCATCGATCCATCAGGTCAGATTAGCCTTTTGAACACGAGGAACATGTGAGAATTATTGTAGTGTTCAAGGTAGTGTGCATGCTTGCTTCAACGCCTGTCAATTTCCTGTAATCAAATGTTGCATACTCAAAATGTTTCATATTCAATGGTGTGCTGCCTTGACATCTTCTTGTGATTATAATATAATATTTATAATAATACTATTATTAATATTATTGATTACAAAAAGCAAAATATTATCAATGAAAATCTTGTAAATGCCCAGCAAGATCTGCTCCGCGTTTTGATTTCCAATTTAAAATGTATATAAACCAAAATAAAAATATCAATCAATACAAGTAAAAAAAGGTACCTCTGGTTAGTTATTAACACGTTTTCTTTAGGAGACCCAAACCAAACTAAACAACAACACTCACGTTTTGTCACCTTGGACTCTGTCAAAAAATAAATTGTTTTTCCAAGAAAGAAAAAAAAATCAATTCGTGTCTGTCCTACCAAAAAAAAAACCAATAGGATAAATAATTAGTGTACGCGTCAATCGTATCACAAAAACTTTTCATTTTCAAGATTCAAAATGTCGCAAGGAACCAATAAAAGAAGAAAAGCCAACAATGTTGCAGAAGCAACAAGACCCGAGTAAGTGTTTTAAGGATGGTGGTGGTGCCACCTGTCGTCACTCTAGTTGCTTTTTAAAAATAAATTAATTGTTTAAATGCTTTGTATATGGTAATAGCTCTTCAGCTGAATTAGTAATTATCCTAAGGCAGGAAATTGAGGTTCTTAAAAAAGAAAATTTATTATTGGAACGTTAGTATTGTTATGATGTTATGATGACAATGATTGATGAAACAACAATAATTAACTTTTGATTCTTTTTAATCATTTTTTTATCTAGACCAAGTAAATTATTTTAAAAGCATGTATGAAAATAATATTCTTGCCAATAAAAATAAAGCTACTTCAATTTCCGGTATATATATTTTTTTTTTGCTAATATAAAAAATTTAATGAGAAATAATTAATAAATCAATTTTACCAAATAGGTAATGAATCACCACCTGGAGCAAAAACAACTACATCACCAAAAGTAAAAGTAACTACAGAATCACCACCTGGAGTAAAAACAACTACATCACCAAATCTAGAAGCAACTACAGAATCATCATTGCCAGAAGTAAAAAAAACCACGAAATCGCCACCATCACCATCACCATCACCATCACCATCATCACCATCACCTAAGGCAAAAGATAATACAGAATCAACATCAATAAAAGCAAAAGCAATCACAGGATCGTCATCACCAAATCCAGAAGTAACCACAGAATCGCCACTAAATGCAGAAGATACTACAGGACCAAAAGAAACAGAATCATCATTACCAACAGAAAGAACTACAGAATCATACAAAGTCCAAGAATCCATTTTAGGTGTTGACAACTGCATAAAGAATAATGATTTGTTATTACCCGAAATCTATACAGAATATGATATATTGTTACCAGGCTCTCAATTAAATTTAAAGTATGTAGCATATATATTAATGAATTATAAATTAATTGTTTTCATATATAAACATATATGTGTATATTAATAAAAAATTTTTTTTAAAGTCAACAGAAAGAAGTTGTCCATGCTATAACTAATTTTCACAAGAATGAGGAAGAAATGATGATAGTATGTGAAGAGGATGAAGAAATACAGTTCCTCACAAAAAATAGCAAAGATGATAATAATGAAGCTTCAACTACTAGTGATAATTTTTCTTCTACCAATGAAATTAAAAGATCATCACCAGCTAATAGTGCAACAGACACTGCATCTACTTCATCCACTGAAACTACTGCTAGATCAATTCAAAATTTACAAGTACAAGGGCAAGGATTGGAAGAAGAATTAAGTGTGTTGGATGATGAAGATGGAATTATTACTTCTGGAAGAAGGGAATGGACACGTGAAGAATTAATGATTTTAATAAATGCCATTTTCTCCAGAAGGATAAACCCCCAAAAGCTCTATGATTTGGGTTTGATAAAAAGCTCTCAGCAGGTGTCCAAGAAAAAAAATTCAATAAAAATACGTTTGAAGAAATTGATTCATAACAGATCAATGCGTTAAAAAATTTTTTTTTTTTTTTTATGTAAATTGAAAGAAGAATATATACATATATTATTATAAACAAAATCTTTTTTTTCATCTTTTCAACACATTCATATATTGTTTTAAAAAAGATATTCACTTTTTCATCTCAACATTCATCCAACTCAACATTTCTCCTAGATTAATAATGAAGAAAATTTTAACAAGTAACGAGATAAGCTTAATAATAATTAAACATGGGAGCATAAATAACAAAAGAACAAGGTCGTTTACCTATTGCTTATGTGTTGACAAAACATCAACAAACACAACATATAACTAGTACTAACCTTTCAATAATAAGGAGATAACTACTAATTCTGAATCAGTTTTCAACAAAGACTTAACAATAATATACAAAATTTACCTAATGACATCACAATAATATCACCACCGCCGACTGGAAAAACTCCTTCTATAAATACTTTGGCTAACGATACTATCTCTTCTGAATCTACTATTGATAACGATATAAAGCAAGATGATGAGATTACTTGTTGGCTTTGTCCACATGATCATGAATCAAATTCTTGTTTTCACATATTAATATAGAAAATCAATTGATGTGACATGTCACACAACTAATTGTTCTCAAATCTTAGGACAAAGAGATTGGAAAGAAAAAAAATAGTTAGAATGTTAGTATTGTTATGATGTTATGATTATAATGATTGATGATAACAGTAACAACAATAATTAATTTTTGATTCTTTTTAATCATTTTTTTATCTAGGCCAAGTCATTTATTACAAAAGTATGTACGAAAATAATATTCTTAATGCAGGGTAATTGGTCAACTTGTATTATGTATCTTAATGGTGGTATGGCTACAGTTATACAACAACTAAAATTAATGGAAGATGATTTCAGAGGACAGGATTTCTAAATCATCCTAAAGATCTCAAAGGAAATAACAATCTTTTGGTGTTAACACATCCTCAACATATTGGAATATTCATATAAAGTATTTAGAGGCTGGTGCTGATTTTGTTGAAACTAACTACTTTTAGTAGTACTTCTATCAGTCAAGCTGATCATACAAAGTTCGTGATTTTAATCTTTCTCCTGTTAATTATAATGTAATTATTTATTATTTATCTTATTTTTATTTATTTATTTATTTAGCACTCTTTGTATACAGTATATATAAATTCAAGTGCATTGATGATAAACAGAATCCTTTTGGGCATGTCAGACATAGTTCTTTGACTTCAATTGCAAGCAGTAGTAAGTTCACAAATGATAATACTTATAAGAATAGATAATATAATAATAATAATAATTACTATCATTATTATTATCACTCTAAAGGTATTCTTAAACCTAAACCAGCTTCTCCATCTTCAATATTAACAACATCACCTATTTTTACAACAGCAAGATAACAAACTATCCTTTCATTGATCTTCTATCATCAACCAATCTGAAACATCAAAAAGATTTCCACCTCAAAAATCAGATAACAATGATGATATTTTCAGCAATTTCTTGATGTTAATTCACAAAAAAAAATGTGTTCAACAAATTTGAATTCTTACAAAAACCACACATTTTCAAATGGTTTTACAAATACAAATATGAATTCATCACAACAAAAACAATTTGGCCATTCAAAAGCATCTCTTTTGATGGCATGTTTAGTGATTTAGACCCATTAAAAACAACATCATCTATTTTTGATAACAACAATAAGATAACAGACAATCCTTTCATTAATCTTCTACCATTAATTAAATCTGAAATGTCAAAAAGATTTCCACCTCAAAAATTAAATGATGATAATATTTTCAGTGATTTCCAAGCTGCATCTGACATTAATTCACGAAAAACAATGCACCCAATGAATGGTTTTACAAGCACAAGTATGAACCCATTACAACAAAAACAATTTGTTCATTCAAAGAGCACCTCTTTTGATAATACATTTAGTGATTTAGATCCATTACATAATAAATAAATATTTAGAATTTATTTATCAGACATTTTTTTAAAGTAATATTTTGAATAGAATCCATTTAGGTGTTGATGACTGACTGTGTAGAGAATAATGATTTGTTATTACCCAAAATCTATACAGAGCATGATATATTGTTATCAGATTCTCAATTAAATTTAAAGTATGTAGCATATATATTAATGAATTATAAATTGATTATTTTCATATATAAACATATATGTATATATTAAAGTCATCCATGATATAACTAGTTATTTATATAAAAATTTTTAATTAAAATAGTTTTATTATTATTATTATTAAATTTTTAAAAGATCATTGTCAAAGAATCAAAAATGCAATATTTTTAGTCATGACTTTAAAACACTAAAATTTAGAAATAATATTAATTTTTACCTCCAAATAATTGTTTTTACTTTTTTATGATGTAAATCCTTGCATTTGTTAATTACTTTTGGCTATGACATGATGCAAATTTTTGTGATAAAAATTATTGGTAACATGCAGTAATGTTAATAAATATTTAATATGCCATGTTGATAAAGATGCTTCCTGGGAGCTCAAAACATTGGGAAAACTTATGTGTGTGATGAGTTATGACAGGCCATTTTTTCTTTAATTGATAAAAATATTTGATTCACCATTATTAAGTATTAGTCGCACAAAAAGTCAAAGTTACATATTTAGGGTTCTATTTTAAAGTTTGCGCTAAATTCTAATTATATCAAATATCATATTAATGCGAGCCTTGCTTTTATGTTTTAAAAAATTAAATTATGTGTATTAAAATGGCAAAAAAAATGAAAGAAAAGTATTCGACATAAATGTTCAGTTAATGGATCATAAGTATAGTTGGTTGATCTAAATAGTTTTTGGGAGGCCGTTCACTTCGTTTTGCACAATCAGAAATATTTTAAATTAAAATGTTACCAATATACTAAGAAATATTGTAATAATAAAATTATTTTCCTTTTAATGATTTTTGCTTTTTGTTGGGTAATAATGCATCATTGTGATGCTTTCTTTTTCCAACATTTATTATTTTTCTTTCTTCTTGGTAAATTTCATAGGTAATCTTTTCTTTTCTTAGATAAGCTTCCAGTGTCTGAGTATCATTTATTTTGAAAATGTAAGGAGCAATTTTTTTCACCTTGTTCCCTCTTCAAATGGTGCTGTGAATCTTGGGTTCTATAGTAGATCTAATGTAAATGAGTTTCATATTAACTATTTTTATATAGAAGTAATTCTATATAGTCCTCACTCTGTCTCTCTTCAATCTCTTTAATATAAATTTTTAAATAGGTAGCTATGTATTTAATTATTTAAAACAAAATTTTAATTAATATTAAATTAATATTTAATCACCTGATTTGATGGTCTATAAAATTAGCATTGCTTCCATTCTCATTTTATATGTCACATCTTTATGTTTTCTTTTATATCTATTATATCTCTCATATAGTTTATAAGAATTATAGCATTTTGAACATATTATCTTGCTTATATTTGTTTAATTCATAACCAACTAGTTCAGCCTTTCCTTTTCCTTGTTCTGAAATATTTCACCACTTTGAGACATCTTTTTCTATTTTTCAAACGGAACAAAAACCAACAGACGTTTTAGTAATGACTTGCAATCAAGGAATAAAATTTGTTACTTCAGAGAATGTTGAAGTGAAAAGAGTATACTTGTAAAATTTGAAAGGTTGTTATTTAGTGTACTTGCACCTGTCTCATAAGTGTTGCCCGTCAGTCATCTATTCTAAAACAATTAAGAAATAGTCGATATAATATGTATAATATAAAGGAATGTCCACCATGTTTGCGAATAATAATGATCGCGTTCAAGAAAAATTGTGATTGGCAGGCTCCGTATTTAGTATATAGGAAGATCACCCATGTGTTTTTCGCGTTCAAACAAAACAATGTCTTCTTCTTCAAATCAAAGACAACAACGATTAAGAATTCAAAAAGGTTGCAGCAGCAATAACAATTCACACAACAACAACAGTTTTTACAACCGTAACAACAGTTTTTACAGCAACAACAACAACAATTCCTACTTTAACAACAACATTTACACTTGCTGCAATTACAACAGCAGCAAAATTATATCATAATCAACCACCAGTTATAAATTGCAATTATTTCAACTGCAATGGCAGATATCATTACCATCACTATTACAATAACAATGATTGTAGCAATAGTAATAGTAGCAATAGTAATAATAATATTGGTTCGATTTTTGAGTTACTAAATGGCAAGTTGATCTCATTCACTCCAATTTTTATTATTAGATTCATAGTAGCAGAGGCAGTAGTTTAAATTTTTTTTCGTTTATTTTATTATTAGTACACAATTATGAATAGTGATGATGATTAATGATACTGATGATAATTATACTGATGATGATGATGATGATACTGATAATGATACTTGTGTAGATTCTGATGACACTCAAATCTAAATAAATTTATTATTATTATTACAATTGATTAATTAATATACAATGCTTACTTAATTCCATCACCTAACATTTGAATATAATTTGATGCATAGTCAACCCGAACCCCATTAATCATGAAATCCTGTTAAAATGAACACTATTGTACCGGAAGGGTCACTTGGCTTAAAAAAGACCACTTCATAACAGGTTAAATTCCTTTGTAAAAATCGGGCTCTCATCCAATACTTCTAGTGCTTGAACTAATAACTCTCTCAATAATAAAATGACAAATACCACAATACATGAATATTCTTAAATTGTAATATGTTTCGCTCTTTGTGGTTACGTGGTGGAATTGTTTTACCGAAACTATGCCCTGTATCCTTTGTCAGTACTAAATGAGTTAAGAGGTAATAACGATTATAATAATTAATTAAATGAGTTTGATACTTAAATTATTTCTACATAATTCTTTTAATAATACCTACTTTTTTGTTGCTCTTGCGTCAGAGTTTCTGATTTGAAAAATAATAAAAAATACAATTATTATTATCGAGCCCGAAATTGTACTTTTTCATCATTTGGCATGCCATCATTAGAAAGTTGTCGAAACTTTACAAATATAATTCTCGGCATACAGACCAAGCATATGCGCTACCTTAGAACTTCCATTCAGATCACTCGCCATCTAGGCAATCAAATCTAACGCTTTTGTACGGCATGAAAATGTGATTGTGATAATTCGCTTTCCCTCTTCCACTCAATAAATATTCCATGAGCTTTTCAGATCAGTTAACACTCCAAAAGACTTTAATCTTGTCATTTACATAAAGGTCAGCGGAAAACATTTCAAAAATAGTCTGGTGTTAAATTAGAAATAATTATTCCAAACATTTTTCTTTTCTGATAATATTTATCCATGTATACCGTTCCAGTTGGTTCTTTGCTTTGTTCCCTCACACTGTCGTTGTTTGGTCATTTTCTTTTTAAAAATGAGGACCGCTGATAATACATATTATAACCGCTAAGAAGGCATATTTGCAATTCTCATCATTTTCAGTAGCCTACTTTTACCTTAGCCTCCATTGGTTTGCTATAGCAATGCTCCTGACCAATGTCATAAGTGACATTTTCCCAACATAAGTTACAGCAATGATAATGCATTTTTGAATAGTAACAGCAGATTTTTGTATTTCAAAAATATGATTGGTAATCAGAAAAAGGACCAACTTCGTGAGCAAAGGTGCCTTAATATAGCATTCCAATTTGATGTTTTTGGTTCTTTTGATTTCTCATCTAAAGGTTCTACAAATATTATTATTGATTTTTGAATTTAATAAATTTAAACCTTAATATACTTGGAAAAAATTCAAATGTTCATACTATTATGATATACATTAAATCTGACAAATGGCAATATGCATTATCTGTTGACATTTGGTACATAATTGTATCTTTTCTTATAAATTTGAAAAAGAGCTAATTGCTATTTCGTGCCCAATATGGATGTCAATGTTTAGTGATAAAAAAGGATCGTCATAGAGAAAATTGTCTATTGATCAATAAAAAAATAAAATTATTGATTTTAAAAAAAAAAAAATATATATATATTAGATCAATTAAAATATACCATTTGAATCAATTATGATGCAAATGCTGTACTACACCCATGATAAAAAAGCTATACCATTATTTTTATCATTATCACATCTTCAAACCTCTTTACAAATATTTTCTTTTCTCAGTTTCCTCCACAATCTTCATTCACTATTAATACTTTCTTCGTAAAAATACTCGGATACTTTACAAAGCTGTGATGGTAGGTTTATAAACCAAGGGTAGAGAGAGGTACTTTATTAAACACGCAAACATATGTCTGGGTTAGGCGCATATATGTGACAAATCATCAAAGCAAAATCCAAATTACATTATTTGACTTTCGCATTGTTGTAAATATGCAAGCTCGTTTCATTAATGGGGTTTCATATTAGACAATATTTAAGCTTTCGGACTTTTAAATCCGGCGGTTATTTTCCTATTTGTCATTCTGGAGAAATCTATCCGTCCTCGATTATGGAGATTACATAACGCACACTCAAAATCAACTTATGTTTTCGTTTTCATATTAATAAATTAAATACACATGATCAAAAATACTCCACAGTTGGCTTGCATTGGTATTGACCGGGTCAGCCATGAGGAGGAGAAGAATCAGCCAACAGATGAGAATAAATAGTGTTCAAATGATGGAGACCGATGTTGAAGTAATTAAGATGACTTGCATTACATATTCTTTGATCAACTGGATTTTTTAAGGTGCTATTAATTAATTAATATGGTAATTGGGCGGCAAAAAACATTCAATTTCCAATTTTTATTTTTAAGCACAATAAGGAATGTGTTGCGGTATTGTAATAGCATTTTTAGCAATAATCTATTTAAATTTTCGCCCGAACAATAATATCCGGATGAAAACATTTGGTTTTGATTAGGAAATTTTGAATTAATTTTCTTAACGCCAACCAAGTCTCATTTGGCAAGCAAAAATATC